AGAAGGGGAAAAGCAGGACATCTCAATATTTGAGAGGCTTTAAAAATACATGTTCGGCCATTTCTTCATGAAAATGAATAACAATCGATTATTTATCAAAATAGTTGTCAATTGTTTTTCTGTTAATTGATGTGATTTGTGATCAACAGGCTTCATATTTAGTGTACAGAAATGAAAGTATTTTCAATTGAACTAGCTTTATTAGCATGACCATAATGACATACATATTGCCAAAACTTTGTACAACCTGAAATCTAAACATAATATACATTTTAAGTGTACTGTTAAGTTCATACACATTTTGAACAAATGCAAGAATAATATGGTTTCTTTACAAGGAGAACAATATAATTTTTGGAAATGAGCTAGAAATGTAATTATTAAATACAATTAAAATCATTTAAAATCACAGAAGAATAGAAAAAGTTGATGTGAGTATTATATTATACAGTATTATCAATCTTTCCCTATCATTGTCAAGGACAAGTCTGTTTTTATATCACTGTAAATTGAATAAATGGGGTTTGGGAATCTTGATCAGACAGAACAAACAATTCTAAGGCTTTAACCTTCAGTCAAAGAGGAATTGACAATATAAAGTCAAAGTAACAAAGTCACCTTGTTAAGTGTAAGTCTACAAGAGCTGATGGGTCAGTCTGTGGTGACCTCCACTGTCACGATGGTTTGACAGAGACATTGAACCTGCTCTGACTGTCTGTTGAACGTCTCTGCTGTCAGGTTAACTAAGGCGGGCTGACCTCTTTGTGTGGGTGCCATCTCAGCTTCACGCACTGCTGACTTCTCTGTGCCATGCTCGTCGGACATGCTTAATGTTCCTGACACACAACGTGGTTAAGAATACTGACGGAGAGCTCACTGAAGCATGGAAATGCAAATATAAACTCAATTTGACATCAGTAACTGCTTTGTGATAGACCAGAACATGTTTATTTGTTTTACATTTTGAGAACCAAAAAATAATCGTGATTTTGACCATGCACACATTCTCCAACAAAGCAGTGTTTTTTTTTCCTCTTAAATTGCAGGAAAGCCTCTCACCAATGCATGTTTCTCTTTGTTTTGACAAAGTTAGAATTGAAATAGTGATTTGTCATAATATGGCTGTTTTCATAAATCCCATTGCAGTTTATGCTATACCTGTTTTATTTTATTGAGGCAGCCAGGGGAGGCATCTCAGTCAGAGAAAAACACACACACACACACACACACACACACACACACACACACACACACACACACACACACACACACACACACTTACTTGCTGACAGGCAATGAAATCTCTGTCAGTTGGCTTCGGTGCTCCCGTTTGCCCTTCATTCCCTCGCCAATTTATCCCCCTGACATCTTGATCCACAAACACAACTGTGGACGAAGCTTTCCGATTTCCCATCTGAGGTTTTATTTCAGCTTTTAAACACACGCTTGGCTGAACTGTGAAAGATGGTTATCAGCCTCCCTCTGCCAGCATGCACACATCCATGCTATGAGACTTCATCCAGATATGATGGATTGTTCTACAATATTAAGTATGTTGGGCTGCCATGTGGTTGCTAGTTGCTACTTGTATAAAATAGATGGAAATGGGAAGATATACTCCTGTTGATACTGCTGTTAACTTGATTGGTCAAACCCAGTATCTCTAGTTTTAGATATAAGTCTTTTGGTCAGGATTCTTTGTTAATATTCATTCAAGAGATGTTTTATCATTAAAAAAAGAAATCAGTGATTTTACAATCATATATGCCGGCTCTCCTCCTGTCTTGTTTAAAACTTTTTATAGTGTTTTTTAACTGTACTCATTCTTGACTTTTTCCTAAACAAATTGTCATCTACAGATAAATACGTTTCTTGGACATATATATATATATATATATATACACACATATACCACATGACTAAATCCAAGTAGGTTAAAACACATAAGGAACTAATCTTATTTCCCCATACTGTATCTTACTTTTTTCTCCTGACAGTGCGGACTTGTTTCCTCTTCGCTCTGTGACAGCCACTGTGGTAGGAATGCTAATAGTTAGCTTGGCATTCCAAAACGTACATAAATGGCTGGAAATAGAATGATCTACCCCTTTTCTCCTGACTTTTAATGGAGCACTTTTAAAGAGGCCCTTATTAACTGCAGGATCTACTCTTGATTTGAAGTCTTCTTCAACTCCTCCAAAAGGTTGACTGGACTCCAGTGTGACTGCAATGTAATGCGGCACAGCAGCTGCTGAAATAGATGCTTTCAAAGAGAGTTGTTTGCACCAGTGTTCCCCCTCTTCCCATCCTCTGAATGTTTTTCCAGTCTGTGCTCAGTCTCATGGCCCATGTCTGACCTCCGAGTTGCCATTAACTAAATAAGATTTCTGCTCCCAAATCATGCTAAGCTCCCTTTGAGATCTCACGGGAACTCTCGGTTAATAATTGATCCGATCACAGACTCTCTGATCTTGTCCCTGCCATTTCCCTTTCTTGTTGTTACTCTTTTGAAGTCTCACTGTTTGTTTGAGTGTTTGAGCAAAGAGAGCTGATGTTATCTGGAGTCATGCTGCTCTTATCCTTAATTTGCTTATGTAGATTTTGGGGCTGTGGAGAGGAGGGAGTAGTGAAAAATTAAAGTGTTCATGATGGTAAAATGTCTTCATTAGCTATAGACAGTGAGTTTTTTATGGATTACGTACTTAAATCTCACAAAGAATAACACTGTTTAATGGATATCTCCAGCAGTTTATTTCAAGGAATTGCATGTCACTGAGTCAGAGCCGTCTTGAAGATAAACATCTAATAGTCGCCACACTCAAGTCACTGTCTCGCGCTCCGTCAGCAACACTCAGAAGTCCTTGTTCTGCTGTCCTGTCACTCTGAAACATCTCAGAGCAGCTGTCTCGCCCCTTCACGGTCCACGAGAGGCTGTGAAATCACACGCATAGGGGCTTCTTGAGCTCCCGGGGGGAGGCGTGATGGGTGGGTGGGACTGGTGCCAAGTATTTGTGGGTGCTGCTGTTTTCGTCTGTGCATGTGTGGGGCATCCTCCCCTTTAACCCCCTGCAGCCTCAGGCATGTGCTTCACCCCCGCTCGTCCTTAGCTTAGCTTCCCTCAAAACGTCTTATTGCAGATGTTTATCTGAAGGAATTATGAGATCTTATCTTAACAAGAATATTGGAAATACAGAACCTTTTTTCCCCCTCAATCTTTCTTTGACACATCTCCTTGCATTCCACAATATGCTGATACAACAACGTTCTTTCTGGAAATCTGATTCCACTGAGGCACCTTTGCGTCGCTGTGCCAACAGAACAGTTGAGAAGGAGAGGAGGGAGGCGTCGGCTGCTGATGAGCCCATTACGGTTGTTTCCGTCTTTGAGGCGACTTCCACCTGACAGCCGAGCCGGGCTTAATGGGGTCGGCAGAGCAGTGAGATGAAGAGGAGAATCCCTGCAAAGATATTTTACCTCTCAGCATTTTCCTTCTCCGTCTTTAACCTATTTTCTCTCTCTTCCAAGTCAGTCCCAGATACCTTGATCCAAATCCAGGGAAACTATTTTCATAAAACTATTTTGAAATGAACTAATATTAATATTTCATTGCGATGGCTGCTCATCCGGGTGCATTAGCGTATCCGCGTATCCGCTGCATGCTTTCCCGGCAAGTGCGTATTGATTGAGACTTTTTTTGTTTTCAGTTTTTCTTAATCTGTGTGGAAATGGAGGCTCCCTGGAGAACTAGCAGAGCTTTCACCAAGTTTGATATATCAAGAGACATCATATTTCATTGATGGTGTGAAGCTTTCTGTTGGAAAAATCTACTTTATTTAAAATGAATATGAACAGAAATTAAATATCTGTACACTGTTGTTGATTAATATTCTGTCCATTCAGTGGTTTTAACTTCTCAAATGTGAAGATATGCAGCTTAGTGTTTCTGTCATGTAAATGTCTTGCATTGCTGAAATTGAAATGTATATTTAATGACATTCTTTTGAATTTTTTTAACGATTAATCCTAAAAACAATCTACCGATAACCCAATGACAAGAATACTAATGCTTATTTTAACACTTAAATGAGTTGTCTTGAAAACATTGCACCCGTTTATATTCAGTGTGTATCTTTGAGGCCTTAAAAACACGTCAAATACTTTTCCTCAAATCATGCTTACGTCTGTGTTTCTTTTGCTGCCTTTAGTAATGGATAGCTAGCTTTGCACTCATAAAAGAACCCAGTGGTCAAAAACTCCTTGGTGTACCTTTTTAATGATTTACTCTGCCCTACTGTAAATCATTGGGCTTTCAATAGTTCACCGTGCCCCTCAGTCTTAGCATGAGAGATTGTTTTTGTCACAAGAAAATTCCCATCATGTGTCCCCTCCCTCTGTTTATTCCCTGTTATCTGCAACTCTCCCTTTCAACCACTCTCACTTTGAAGAGCCCTTAGTGGGAGTTTAGATAGAGTCCGCTCAGCTTATCTCTTTGAAAGTCCCTCTGTGAAGAGCCAAACATTCCCTTTACTGCGACCTAAATGAACTTGAATGATTTCTCATATGGGCACAGTTTCAGTAGCATGGCTTTGTTTCAGCATGTCTAAGTCATTGAATAAGAGGTGATCAGAGGTGGCAGCTGCGTCTTTGTGTGTATGTATGTATGCCAGTGTTGGAGAGACAGGGTGTTTGAGAGATGTAGGTCACAGTTTAACAGTACTGTAAGAGTTGGCACACTGCCTCACCCCGGCCTCCCGCTCTAACTTGTCTGTCATTATGTGGTATGGGAGAACACCTTATCTGTGTTTGCTGTCTCTGCTGGGACCTTTCCCTCTTCATATGCATGCATGCACGCACACACACACACACAAACACACACACACACTATGTCAACGCGCATCTCAAATGAAACCATCAACCAAAACTCGTAACATACACACATAGAGAAGGCTCGGTGTGATGGAGGTTGGCACGCTACCTCACACCCCAGCTGTAGGGCTGGCATGGAGGAGGTGAGCACGTCTGCTGACATTTTTATGGATGGGTTGTTTGAGGTGGATGTTGGGGAAAACTCTCCTGGTGTTTTTGAACCCATCTGCTGGCTTTTTATCCAAGGTTTATTCAAATTAATCAAATTATCTACCCCTCATTGTTAGAGATCACTTGCTAATACAGTAGAAATGTTGCACTAAATCCAGTGGTGTTATGTCCATTATTAGTAAACAAAACATTCTCAGAGTTCAATGTGAGCTTTTGAGTTACTTGTTGTGTTCAACCAGCTGCTCAAGACTCAAGTATATTCAACTTTTGATGACATAAAACTGAAAAAAAGCAGACATTCACCCCAATTTTAGAAACTAGAGCAAGCTAATGTGTTGTAATATTGCTTTATAAATAACCTAATAAAATGGCCCGATTGAGCTTTTTGGGTTTTCTCTTAAAAAGATCCATGTCGTAACAGAGCATGGAAAGAAAATGAGAATAAAAGAAGCTGCCTTTTTAGATATACAATCTATGAAAAAGATTTGAGATGGATGTAACTTCAGTCAAGGGTGCTCAAATTGAGGTGAAGGGGTGAAGCTTGAACCCAAGTGTCACATATTGCTTGGGGCTGTAAAGTGAAAGCCAATCATGTGGCAGCAGGTGTCTCTCCTAAAGCCTTCAGATTTATCTCCCTCAGTTTATTTACAGCTGAAAGATAGGCCAGTGGGCCGTGACCTGTCTCCTCACAAAAAAATCAATTCCCCAAAGAAACCAGGCGGGCCGGCAGACCTAGGCCATCTAGATCTAACTCGAGCATCTATAAAGAAGTGGTCGATAAAGTGCAGTCACAGCAAAGCCACAACAGGACTTTACTTAAGCAAAAGGTTTAATGGACCGAATCACTCAAGAACCTCTTTATTTCTGGCACTGTATGTGATCCATAATGCATATGGCTCGGTTTGTTGCCTGCAACATACATGCAATCCTGGTGTCTTCTTTCTGATTTTCCTCATCTTAAGACTTGGTTCTTTACAATCTAAGGTTGGGTAGCGTAAAAGGCTTAATGTCTTGCCCCGGTTGACCTCAGCCTTTCCACAGCCTCTCTCCAGGCCTTTCTGCTCTTTTTTTTGCCTGCCTGTCCATCAGCTGAAGCCACCTGCAGCTGAGACAAAGGTGAGACTGATGCACAGATGGACAGGCAGCAGGAGGAGGACGGGGCGGCGGGGTGAGTAGGGTCAAAGATGGAGGAATTACCTTGGCTCATCTTCAACAGGCTCCTTGATTTAACATTACTGAAAGATCCCCTTTTTTCCTGGCTCCAGTCTTGCAATAGGCCATGATCCCACACACACGAGCACACACACCGCTGCGCAGGTGTAGCCATGCTTAATCAACCCTAGCAGTGGATCGTTCCCAATGATAGCAAGCCTTGACATCAGGTATGATAACATTGTGTTGCTCAGGGCACATGAGGGCCTGCCTTGACACTCGTTGGAGATGGCTCCTGATCATGAGTAGTTCATTGCGCAAGTGTTCAAACCAGAAAGTCGGGACGCTGTTGAGTTCAAATTGGAGTCTTCCAATCCAACTCCTCCTGTTGTTTCCAGGATTTTCTTTAATTAGCAACAATCATGCATTTAGATGGAGAGATGTTGCGCTGTGTTTTTTGTATCCTTCAACAGGAGGTAGATACAATATCTATCAAGTAGATATGCCACAATAAGCTGGAAAAAGTAATTGTAAAAACTTTGTGTTGTGTTTCTATTTAAAAAAGATATGTATGCATTTATTTATCCTAACTGTTAATATATGCAGTGTAAGACTGAACAATTGAGCATAATTGTATCTAAATTGTAAAATGGACGACTTCAATATTCAAATAGCAGTAGGTGCTCTATATTACTATATATTATTTCATCCAGAATATTACTATTCTGGATGAAATCTTTCTGTTTTCATGTCTACAAAAAATAGTTTTGGACGATCATTTTAATATCCTAATGGAAAATTAGGATAACCCAAAAACGATCACTCTCCATAATCGAAATTTGCAATTTGATCCAAATTGCGATATCAGTCAAAAATAATCAGATTTGCTCTACTGCAGTGTTATCACAGACAAGCTTTTTCTAATTCTCAGTGGTTCCGCGCATTATGCAATGCGGAAAAGAAGGAACACATTAGTTACTAACTCACCTATAACTACTTGTACTTTGACACATTTTTCCCATTTGATTTTTCTTGTGAAATAGAACTCTTAGTTGGACAGCAACATCAAAATGACTTCCTGTTTCAGTGCAAGTTACACTTGTCATTTTCTCAAGTGAGATGAGGGTAAATAGAGCAGAAATATGTCTGATGCACATACGGCACCACGAGGGGAAATAAAAAAATGTGAGTGTGCGTGAGGACGTATGAGCGTCACATCATGTCTTGTTTAAGAGACATGTCTCCCTGAGCTGATGGCTCATGACTGTGAAGTGTGTGTGCATGTGTGTGTATTAGATCACCCAGAGCCTCACAGGAAAAAGTATTTTCTCCACGTCGGGTCTTATAATTTTACGAGAAAATAATTCACAGCTAGCCAGTATTGTCTAAACATCACATTCCTCCACTGGGCTAAGTGGTCGCCATGGCACACACTTAATGAACGGAAAAAGCTGTAAAATGTTAACAGCAGCGCCATTCTAATCCTCTGTCATTGACTTTCTCTCTCTCTCTCCTTCCAGTGCTGTCCATCCAGGCCGCCGCCATTCAGTTCACCAAGGAGCCCAAGTCCCAGGATGCCTTGCACGGCCGCAGCGCAATGCTCCGCTGCGAGGTCAGCGATCCGGCCGACATCACGTACAGCTGGCTTCACAACGGCCAGCCCCTGGAGCACAGCGAGAGGCGCTTCGTGGAGGGCAGCAACCTCAAGTTCACGGCGGTGGATCGGCAGTTGGACGCGGGAAACTTCGAATGCGTCGCAGGAAACTCGGCCACAGGAGAATACCTCCACTCCACCAATGCCTCCTTCAATATCAAGTGTGAGTGTTTCATTTCGAGCCGTTCTCACCCTCATTCCAATAAAACTTCCCGAGTGAAAATCACCAGCTGACAGGGTTTCATAATGGCAACAAGGGCGAGCATCCAGTTTCTGGATCAAAAACGCCAAACAAAAGGCCCGGTATAAGATGACAGGTAGTATGAGCTGCAGGAATGTTTCCACCTTGTTGCCTCCTTCTTTGTGGCTTCCTCTCTCCAAAGGAAACTGGATATGTGCGCCACCAAGCATGTGTTTCTTGTTGCTTGTATCTTTTTTTTCTCAGTTGTGCAACACCCTCTTTTCCCATATACCATCAAAAGGCTTTTGTCTGAAAATTACTGAGCAGCATCATTTGTTTTCTAGCTATGTAATTATTTACTTTAACATTAACTCTTCCCTCCTTGCTGAAGCTTTTTTAATCCACATCAGGCTTCTCCTTCCCTCACTTTCTTGTCCCATTAAGTTGAGACAGACTAGTATTTTAATTTTGTTGTTTACCCCCGCTACCCAAACCTCAACGACCCTCTTAAGTTTCACAGGAAGCCATGGGAATTCTGCACGGCCCCGTTTGGGATAAATAACAACCTTGTTCACGTATTGTGGTAAGCCCTCAGGTACCATTTGTTGCTGAAAAAGCCTTTGTGCCTCGCAAACAGAGAGATAGTTTGTCCCGATGGCAGTAGTAAAAGCAAAGCGGGGTGAAAAATGGCTCCATCTGGAATTTGTTGTCCTCCTGAGCTCCATTCAGCCAGGAGGTTTCTCTTTGCGGGGATGTTACCCGTTCAAAGGCTGATTACAAGAACAGATGAGAGGCCGGACCTCCTGGTAGCAGACTGAGAGACGGGCGGAGGTTTAACCCCTGCTCCGTGACGTGCCTCCACCAGTGGATATTTGTGGGCTGCCTTGACATGAGGGTTAAACGTTTTTTGAGCCAGATAAACCCAAAGGAGCTCATCGGTTTTTCAATCCTTGTCTGATATTGAAGGCTCTGCTTTTATGAGTTTCAATTAAACATGATGCAGTGTGTCAATAACGCTCCACAGAAAAAAACCTCCCACACATTAAAAGAAAGTTAAAAGCAAGTTAGACCCGGAGGACCTGCCTTAAGATTTGCCATCGTGACCCAGAATGAACCTCAGTACCTGCTTCGCCATTAATATTCCCACACATTGGAAGAGAAAGGAATGTTTTTATTGGAAGGAAGGTGGAGTAATAATTTCCAAAAAGCCAAATTTGTTCTTGCTGAACTCGTATATAATTGTAATTTGGAGTATGTTGACACTTGTTTACATAAGTGGTCGTTATTTTTTTAGATGTGAAATTCTCTAACACAAATAGGCAATAATAGAAAGTGATTTAAATATGAGAGTTATTTATTAAAGGGAAATTCTAAATATTACACAAGAGCGCTTCAATGTGCCCCTTTTAAACTCCTCAACAATTTGTAGTGCCGAATGTGCTGGAACATGACATGTCCTTATTCTCCATCTGCCTCTGAGGGTGTTTATAGGGCATCTTCAAGTAGCCTTTAAAGGAGGCCTTTGAAATTGGCTTTTTGAAGAGGCTTTTAGCAAGTCCACTAAGTATGCTGGCGGCTAACACACCTTCAAGTATGACACTGAGTCCTGCAGTACATAAAGCAGAGATAAACAGCAGATACATAGACAATACTTGGATATTAAGGGATAGAGTTCAGTACATGCTAGAAATTATAACATCAATAGCTTCATATCAGTCTTCAGGGGTAGACTTCTCAGGAATGTCTTCAGATAAACCAAAGGAAAAAAACTAAAAAGGTTGTAGCATACTTGAAACCAACGCACAGGTAACAAATTATCCTTAACCATCTCAGTATGCGGCATGTGTCCGCTCGTAACAACACATTCGTCTTTCGGTCATATTACGCCGGGTGGCTAGCCTTCTCTGGCTCACTTTAGGTGGATCAGAGCGTGTTATGACAGCTGTTCTCATATTTCCCCAACATGCATTTAACGGGCGATAAAGCCGCGCACGTCCAAAAGTAAAGACCCCCTCCGGCTTTAACCCTGCATGTGCGCTCACTCATGTGTATGCTAGTTTGCGTGCATACTTGTAAAAATGTGGGTTGCAAGGGGGGGTTGGGTATTCCATATGTACTGTACTTGGACTGTACTTGAGTAGATGGTTTCCCCTCCCCCCCTCCCCTCCCGTCTTCTGCAGAGAGAGTTAATTTGTCTTGCTCTCAATGGTGGGTGGGCAAATCCTGCCAGTTGAGTTATTCAGAGTAATTATCCCCCCTCTGTTTACACTAATAGAGGTTTTTAGCCCCCCCTTATCCTTTTGTCCCTCCCGGTCATTGGGTCTCCACGGTGAGTCCGCGTCCAGCAGAGGCGTCGGACTCAGTCTTCACTATTGTCCGTGTGTTTGTTGGTCCTGGAGGCAACGCTTCACTTGACTCGGGGTAACGAGATGCAAACTGACATTGTTTTGGTAATCGGTGATTGTAGGAAGAAGGGAAAACATGCAGGGGAAACTCAGGCAGGCGCATATTCCTCTCTTTTTAATCTCTCAAATCACAGAGCCACTTCCACACACACACACACGCCATCTCGATTTAATCACACAGCATGTGTCCTTAACCTACATTTGGTCGGCAGATGCATTTTAGAGCATCCTCACTGATGGCTAGTGCAGCTGCACGCTTCCTGTCATCATTCCTGCACACTTTTGTTAGCTGAGAAAATGCAGCCTAATAACCAAGGCTCCATTTGTCACATTCCCCCCTTCAGAGTGACTTTCCTCCACTGTTGGACTTTTTTCCCTCCTTTCTCTTTCAGCCCTGTCACAGCAACAGCATCTATCTGAGTGGCTTTCCCCTGGCCAGTTGACCCCTGCCAGCCACAGCTGATAAAATCTGACACCTTGTCTCCAAATGCAAGCTGAGTCTGTCACGCTGCCTCCCAGGGCGGCTCCAGGGGCACAAAGTTTACACTATGAAGCCACTCTGCCACATGTTTTGGCTCTTTCCATGCCCATATGGTGCCGTCAGTCAAATCCCAACCCTGAGCTCTCCCCTGGATAACACAATCCACCTTGCCTCTGTGTAAAAACCCTTCTCCATGGCAACAAATCAGCACATTGAGTGAAGCAGACGAACACGCAGCTGTCTTTTGGCACAGCGAGGAATGAACGGTCCGAGCATCTGCCTCCACAATATCCTCCCAATTCATCTGTTATCATCCCTGTGTTGATAGGACTTCCTGCTCTGCCTCCAACATAATAATTATACGCCCCTAATTATGGCGTTAGCTGCCAGGCCTGCTCCAACACTTAGTCATGCATTCTGAGAAGGATTACGGGGAAGTATTTGCCACTAATAGGTTATGAAAGAGCACCTTCTGTTTGTCGAGGCGACAGCTGGAGAAACCTGAGCTGTGAATTGAGATATATGAGCAGAGTAAAGGGTGAGAGTGTGCGACTGTGTAAATCCAGGTCAAAGTGGAAATGAAATATTATCAGGAATTGATTTTTTAACCTACTGGAGAACCAAATAGGCCAGGAGTGGCAGAAACTTGAGACAGTGACAAGGATGTGAGTGTTGATAAGTGCCCATTGTCCCAATGATTGTCAGGTCACAGAGGTCAAGCAGTCTGTCCCGCACTGTGATTTTTTTCCCCTTTTTTCGAATTGTTTCTCTTGCTGCTAACACTCAGTTTGTTTAGCTTGTTTCATTTCACACTCATGCTGCTGGAATGTAAAATATTTTTCACAACTGTAAAAAGGGGTTTTCCCAATGAGTCATACCAGACATATGTTCAAATCTGAAAGTTTAATCACTATTTTTATTTGTTTTTAATTGGCAATTGACAGCAGAAAAACACATGGACTCTCACGCTACATCCAAACGTATACGTTTTAGTTTATTCATACGCCATTACAAAACAAAAGCAAGCATTCCTGAAATTGTCACATAACCAATTTCGTTAAACAGGAAGCAGGTGACCCTAATGCCACTGAATTGGGAGAATGTCGTACATTCTCAAATATCAGCTTGCCTTTTGTGCATGTAGGCAGTAGCAGCATTATAACTTGAGGAGTTTAACAGCCCGACAGCTGCTAGCATAGACGACAAGTCCACCAATGCCTGTAATACATGTTGAATTAATCACAGATGGTCAAGGCCGATAATTTTCTTCTAGAATAGGGTTATCTGATATTGGTGTGACGAATAAGGGAAGGGAACATTATTACTAATAACACCCTTTAAAAAGTTGGTGTCTCGTTTCAGGCCTCTCCGTTTTAAGGAAACAAAAATGCAGGAGAACTTTAGACGCTATGCTAAAGCGTAGCATAAAACTATGCGTTTTAAATTACACGTCATAAAAGTAGAACTGGGAGACTAACATTTAACCATGTCTTGTAAGGGTGACAGTTTGACAGCGGAAACACCCACCTGTTACTCCGGGCAGGTTGAAACAAAGTCTTTGACTTCATTTCCAAATGTCAAGTCGTACTGCACATGATACTTGTTGTTCCTTCTCAACTTCGTCTCACTCTCTCCTCCTCCTCCTCCTCCGTGACTCACTGTTTCCCCGTCTGGTTTTATCGGCCTGGTTATGCTTCCACTGCACTAATAACAGGTCTGTGAGCGTCTGGCCCCAGGTCCCTGTTGCTGAAGTGGCCTTCATCATCCTCTCCTCCTCCTCCTCCTCCTCCTCCTCCTCACTGAAGCTACAGGGGCTGTAGACTAGGGACGACCTTGACTCAACCAATTAGCATCCTCTGCAGAACTCTTAAACATTTACACGCATGCATACACGCTTCGGGGTGCAGCATCAACTGTTTTTTACTTCGCACAAACAGTTGTCTCTAACACACACACAAACACACATTTGATCCAATGTAGCGTGATGTGCACTTGCAGTTGCCGGCACATCTGTGCTAGGAAGAAGCTAATGAGCGGGCCCTGTTACTGTAGAGAGGGTTTCCCATGATCCCCCAGGGTGCATTGTAATACCAGGTTCCTGGGTAATTCATCGTGACAGCTCTTCCTCTAGCGCCCCCCTCTGACCTCACAGTGGTGCACCCCCCCTCTCGCTCTCCACCGCTGTCTCAGGTGGAGGCTCATGCCATGCATATTTCATAGTGGATCCTAACAGCAGAGATGCAGCCGCAGTATTCAGCCACGGGCCATAGCAGTGCAGCTCCATGGAATGTCTTACACACACACACTACACACACACACACACACACAAATCCCTCGTTGTGCATAAATTGGCCAAACAAATACGCTCTCTCACTGAATGTTATGCCCCCAACAACCACACCAGGGGTATAGACTGCACGTCATGCAACCACAGACCTATATCTCATCACGTAAATAACTATTAGACCCTGTTCTCATTCAGTGTGAACACACTAAGTATTTGTATAGTCAACACACTCAGCAGGGAAAGGGGAATTCCAGCAGGGTACACTGAGGCTTTATTAGAGACAATTTGAAGGTGTCACTCAGCAAAGGAGGCACCGCAAATAACTTAACTATTTATTTAATCATCCTGTAGACTTGAGTGTGGATGTAGCTCAGCTGCAACGGGGTATTTTTCAGCATATTAGCCAGTGTCTCCATGAGGGATAGAGAATATAGGTTATACACTCACAATATAAAGAACAAATTGACTAGCTTGCTATCTTGGGCGAGAAGTGAAAATATAGTCTAATTTTTAAAAAATGAAGGAAAAAAAAATGAAAAAGTACAGCCATTATTATTTAAGAAAAAACAGACTCCCTTTTGAAATGTATTTATATATCCTTAATTTATGCAGGGGGACCTTCCCTTATTTTAAGATGTTTTTCACTACAAAGAAGTTATGTCCATCCCATCTGTTATGCCATAAAAATGCTTTTGTGTAGTGTAAAGCTATTCCAGTATGTTTGAGCGCCATGTTAGGATACGTTTGAACCACGTTTGACGATTGGGTTAATATTATGATCTGCCAGGAAAATCGTAACATGACATTTTCATATTGTCCCCTAACACTGCATCAGATCAAATACAGTGTTTTTATAGTGACACTACATTTCCATCGACACCAAATAGTTTTATCTAATCTTACTGGAGCCACAGCTATCATTTTTTATTGAAAGAGGGATAAAACGCCTCGTTTCATTATGAGATGTATCTAGTCGTCTCCCTTTGAGACTGAAACATGATCGTATGTTGGCCGTCTCCTAGGAGAAAGCAGGAATGATTTGCTGCTGTGAAGATTTCTTGACATCCTGCATGTATCTGATATTTATTTCCCAGTTTACTGTGTCAACATTTAATGGTAAACCCACGCCGTTCCCCTTTATTTCACACCGAGATGCATTCAGGGGACGACTGGATCGATTTCCTCCGGCATCTGTTTCCTTCATTTACTCTCATCTGACACTCACCATTGATCAGGTTTCCCGTTACATGTGTGAGTGAAGCCTCTCATCACTTTGTTGTGGTGTAATGGAGACATACCTGATCGGCTTTGAAGACATTTTAATGGACTATTCCTGCATTTTTAAAACAACAACATTCTACTGTGTTTTGTGTTGCTCATTTCCTTTCTGCCTGAGTTTACGGGGTTGCTCTGACAGCAGTAGCCCTTTTTAACAGAGTAAGCCAATGAACTGTCCATTAAATGTCCATAAAAAGCACTGTAAAGGCCCAGCTCTGACTTGTGAGTGCAGGGAAGTGCTGTCTCATGAGTCAGTGATGTGCCTTCATCTCGCTGCACCCATTATCATGGCAGCGTGCGCCGTGAGGATACATGACAGGACCACCACTTAACTCAATTTCTCCTCCTGTCCTTCTCCGCCATTACTCTTACACTCTCCTCTGTTTTTCCCTTTCCTCTGCAGGGTTGGAAAGTGGCGGCGTAACTTTGAAGGAGCCCGCCTCAGAAGGGGACATCGAGAGCTCCGCGCCGGTCACGTTGCGCTGTCACATTGACGGACACCCACGGTGAGTCTCCTCCTGTCACCTCAAGTTCAGAACTCACAGGGTTAAGGATCATCTAAAGGACTGCAGTGAAAAACTATTCTTCTGTCAACGTTGGCCTCTCTCATGCCCTTATGATCCTCTTCATCCATTCTTCTTCTCTCCCCCTCTCCACACCTTTTATTTCTTCTGTTTTGGCTTCATCAATCACCCTCACTCGCCAATTTTCTCGTCTTTTTCCTAAACCTCTCCTTCTTTTATTCCTTCTCCTCCTTAAGGCCGACGTGTCAGTGGTTCAAGGACGGGGCGAAGTTGACGGAGAAGAGCCACCAGATCAACAACAAGGAGAGGACGCTCACCTTCGCCAGCGCCAGTCCCGACGACAACGGCCTGTACTACTGCTGCGCCAAGAACGCAGCGGGACACGTCTGCAGCAACAGCAACTTCACTCTCAACATCATAGGTGTGTGTGTGTGTGTGTGTGTGTGTGTGTGTGTGTGTGTGTGTGTGTGTGTGTGTGTGTGTGTGTGTGTGTGTGTGTGTGTGTGTGTGTGTGTGTGTGTGTGTGTGTGTGTGTGTGTGTGTGTGTGTGTGTGTGTGTGTCACAGAGTTGCAAATTGGAAAACTATTTTCCTCTAAACACCTTCAGCCACTGTTAGAGTACTTATAGAGCTGCAACTAATTGCTATTTTCATTATTGATTATTTTAGCTATTCTTTTTTTGATCACACTGCTCTCGGGGATACTTTGTCAATAAAACGTCAGATATTGAGAAAGGCCCCTACAATTCCAGGAGCCCAAGGTAATGTTTTTTTTTTTTTTAATAATTGATTAGTTGAATGACGATACAATAATGCCTCCTTTTTTATGATAACATAAGTTCATTTTGATACAAAAATGGCAGAAAATGCAGTTCAGCCTCTGAAATATGGATATTTTAAAATGTGATTTTCTATATCACATTAAACTGTATATTGACATGTTGTCCACTAACCAAAAAGGGCATCATCTTGGACTTTGAGAACTGGGATTTCCATTTTTCACAATTTGTTATCAAGACCATTCGATTAACCTAGATAGAAGCAACTTTAATTGGAGTTTAACAACACTCTTGTTGTGACTCAAATATATACATTTAATTAATATTAATTGGAGAAAAAACGAAATCCCATCACATAATAGAAGTTAACTGACGTTCTAGCTTGAAAAATCACCCACGGGAATTTTTCCACATTGCCACACCTGCCAGGAAGTGCTTTGAAGAGCATCAGGAGGAGGAGGAAGGGGAATACAGAGCATTAGTGTTGAGAGAGAGAGCAGGAAGAGAAAGTGATGGAGTTCCTAAAGTGATTACCAGAGAGTGTGTTGGCACCTTCCTCCTGTCGCCACCCACGCACACAGACACAACATCATAACCATCTACAGAGTGAACAACAACATCAGCCCCCCCGCCACAGCAGCGCTCTGTTGGTCTGACTGAAGCTCTCGCACACACACAGCTCCTTTTACTGTTTCTTTGTGTTAGATTATTGTTTTTCTGCAGGCTCAACAGGACTTATTTAGTTTTCTCTGTGCTGGGGGGATAATACACAGGAGGGGCTAGATTTAGTACAGTACATCCAGCAGCACATCTGCGCCAGAAACCTGATGCCCATTCCACTCTAATTAGCCACCTGCAACACACACACACACACCGACACGCTAGGTTAGCACCTGTGTGCAAGAAGAATGGATCATTGTTGAGTTTCCAGTTACCGGTTTGCCACCCTCCGCTCCTCTATAGGGCTTCACCTTTAGGTAAACGATGACAGCTTTTCAATGAACGGTCACTGCTTTTCAAGATGAGGCCTTCCCACCGACTTCCTGGGTGGGCCAGGTGTGGGCGCCCTTCCTTTTTTCTTCACACCAACCAGTAGCCATATCCTAATTCTGCTACTGGCACCAAACCTCCATGAGCTGTTCAGATTTCAAATTCTCACACACCTAAACCTTGATTAAGGATATTTTTGTGTTCCCATTTCTGCATTGAGCTCAACACCCTTCAGCTTTGTATAACAATGTGCGAAAGTCTGTTTGCTAGAAACTCCTCCTCTAGGCTGTACTTTGCCAAATCTCTGGTACTGTTGGCAGGTCGCAGCGGCCTTGTCAAAAGAATGTGAGAAAAAGGAAAATTATAAGCAGCATGTTTAGGTGATTTGGGAAAAATGCACTAACTCCATTGTTTAGAAAATGCAAAATAACCAGCCTTATTCTTTCTATGCTCAAAAGTATACATCTCAATGATGGCTTAGGTACAGATGTTTCTTCTTTCCATAACTATCAACCCCTTTCAAGTACCTTTAACCCCGATGTATTGCGTGATTTAAGATTATCACAAAGAAGAGAGATGGCCTCCTTCTATGATCCAGGAGATAAAAAAAGGAGATGATGGTCCAGTGAAGCTGCAGGGCCGCTTCACTGACCTCATTAACTATCCCTGATGGCCCCTGAGGTGTTGACACACACACCGCCACCTGAAGACGGCTTGTTCAGCAGCTGCGCTGCTGTTGACAGCTTCTAATAAAGCCCGGAATAGACCGGCGCTTGATGGACCTGCAGACGTCATCATGCAGATGTTTGTCTACCTTTTTCCGACAGATAAGAGTTTCCCGAGGCCGGTGGTCACTCCTGAGGACCAGGTGGTGCTGAAGAACGAGGAGGCCGCCTTCCACTGCCAGTTCACTGCCGAGCCGGCCCCCACGTTGGAATGGTACCACGAAAATGAGCTGCTGGTGAACAAGTCTCGGTATGTAGGGAGCTAAATCCTCCCCTCTGCAACACTTTTCTTTCTCATCGTACATCTTAGACTCAATCTCCCTCACTGCCTTCACTTCATTCCATCTTACTTACCATTATGTAAGCTTGGGCCACAGTTGGGTAATCCTTTGAACCCAATGAGGTGGAACCGCTACAACTCGAGATGGATTGCACTTTAAGGAATATTATTCCTGGAACCGAGCGCTGTAAAGTTTCTCTTTAGATCCCTCCAGCGCAACTTTTCTTCCCCAGCCTATCGGGAGGAACTCGCCGGTGTTCTCGCACTGAGAGGAAAAACCCCTCAAGCTACTCTCCAGCTTACCAGCATGTCCCCTATAAACACATAAGCGCTAGATAATAACCTAGTATACCAAGTGCCAAGCATACCCTCAGGGTTCAAAGCACCTCACGCATACACATAGACGCATTACAGGCAAGCTGTTCCACATGAGGAGACGGTTTAAGTGATTATTGTGTTCAGTCAGCGAGGGGAGAGAAAGACTTCAACATCAATAGTTAGTCACTTGTGTAATGAGCTTGTCAGAGGCGGGTTTGGTCACCTTGGGAGCGCTGACTCAGCACCAATACTACAGATGGATGGGTAATAAGCCCGGATATAAAAACACACACACAGACTGCTTCATTAAAAAACGCAGGCCTCTTTGTGGTGAAGGTGTTCTAAGGCTGTTTGTTTATTGATCTGCGCTGATACAAGGCCAGAGGAATGCAGCTCTCTGTGGGAGATATCATCTGTTTCACACCTGCACTGTTTACACAACCCCCCTCCCTCTATATTATGTGTGAATATTTGATGTGGATTGTTTCCCACATGTGCCAGACTAAGGAAAAATACACCAGCGTAAGCTCAGGGCTGTTTTTACACACAGAGTCCTGCCCCGTGGGTCAAACCAACTCTTGGGGGAAACATTTGAAACCAAAACAACTCTTTCTGCACATGTTTGCAGATATAAAGATGATTGCTTTAGGAAAAGAATGTGCCTTTGTTCATTTAGTTTTGTGGTTATTTTTCCTCACACAAACTCCCAAAGCTCCTTTCCCTTTTGCTTTTGAACAGAGAATAAGAGATGACACAGAAATATCCCTGTCCTCAGGGAATCCAGTGGAAAAACAGATCCAGCAGCACCTTCACTTCTTCCTCTCTGCTTTACATATTCACATTTCCCTCCTACACTTTTATCATTCAGCCATGATGAGCTGTTGAGTCGGCCTGTTGAACCTTTTCTACACGTGCAGAGTGAGAAGTGCAGCTCCTTATCTGTCAGCCCCGAAGCTGGCTTTAGGTTGGCCCTTAATTACTCCTCATCCGTCCATTACTGGCACTGAAACTCCCTTCAGCCTGCCAGAGGCCAGCCATCAATCCTCCTATTTAAAAAAAAAAAAAAGCACAAGACTTTTTGTAAATTAAATCCCTATGTAGGACACTTTTCTTAGTGCGCAGTGGACACATTCTTAGCATTAACTCTAACCTATTTAGGGCAGCAGATGGCTTCGGTTTATTGAATCAGGGCAATTCAGATAGCATCAGGCAACTTGCCAAGTACAGAAAAATTCATATTCTAAAATAGTGGCACTGCTATTGTCCTTTGTGGCTGAGCATTTCCATCTGGTGCTCCCAGCATGCCAAAGCAAATCATTTTCAGATGCAATCGGAGCTAGATCTGTCGACGGGAGAGTGCTCTTACTGTCCTGTGTGCTTCTGTTCATTTGCCTTCATGTACAGATAATGTGTCGGTCATTGACAAAAAGTAACTTTAAATGAGCTGGTCTTGGAATCTAACAGTGTGTTTCTTCTACCGCAGTGTGATCCTGTTATCCAACGGCACAGTGCTGATCACCCAGGTCAAGCCCAGGAACACAGGGACCTACAAGTGCGTCGGCCGCGGCCTCACAGGGTCCAATGTTGCACTGGAGGCCTCCCTCCTCATAGCCGGTACACAGACTACACACACACACGCACGCACGCACGCATGCACGCACACACACACACACACACACACACATACTTGCAGTTGTCGAGGTGTTGAGAGATAAACACCTGTGATTGTGTAAGCTGAGAGCGAGAGGGGCATTTGGATTACATATTTATCCCGCCCTCCTTCTCATTCTTCTCTCCCCTCCCTTTCTTCTTCTGGCAGATCTCTCATATGATACTCACATTCCCTTATTGACATCCGGCCCAGCTGTACCCACCACACACTCACTCACACGCGCTGGAGAATTTCCCTGCTTCCCCTCCATATTATTTCCTCCAGCAGTCCGGCTGTTTGCCAAACTTGTTAAGCTTTCTCCGTATTGCAACAGCACCTGGCATAAGTAACACTAAATAACGTACCAGTATGACTCAAACTGGTTTAACAAGCAGTGTAATTATGCGCTTTAAAATGTCATAATACCTGCCCCTGTGATTTGCATCCATCACTTGGATTTACCTGGTAGGAAATTACTAACTTACAAATGGTAGGGTATGTTTAACCACTTTAAAATCAAACAAAAAACTTTAAACAAATATCATTTTGTGGTTGTTCACGGGTTGGGTTGTAATCAGTGAAGGGAAAACAATGTAATATAATTCCATTGTTGAGGTATACTAAAATACATTTATATTGTGCAATTTTCTAAATTCACATTGGTTTCTCATACAGCATCTCTGTATAGTATGTGTTCACTCTCTGTCCTAAACGGCTTGTTGGAGCTCCCTGTGAGCCCAGTGGCCGTCTGCGAGACACAGCGAAACCCAGCCCAAAACACACACACACACACACACACACCTGCAGCCTGGCTGGGAGTTTGTGTGTGTGCCCAGGCTGAGTTCCGCGGTGTCTCGCTGTCTCGCAGACCCCACACCAGTGAGCCAGCTCACAGTGTCCCGCTCCTCGCAGCAGCGAGCCTCGCAACGTCCCGCCGAGTGGTGTGCGTGAGGAAGTCCGCGGATTGGTCCAAACGTAACGGCTCCGCGGATGTAACGTTACGTCACTATACCCGAGATACGTCACTATACCCAAGAAGTAAACAATTGAAAAAGAGAAATCTCCTACGAGGCGTTCTGGGGCAGCATAGACAGGTCTTTTCTGTGTTAGAGTTTTACTCGCTACAGGGTGTACTTTGAGGGTTTTTGACTCTGCAGACCATTTATATGCAGAAAAAGCTTCATAACACACAAGGGGACGGGTAATAACCAGAAAAGCATGACATGGGACCTCTAAGCAAACAAATGAGAATCAAAGAAGTTGATCACCTTACTGAATAATGAATAGTTTCCGCCTTATATAATTTGATTTATATTAGAAACTGTATACAAAGGGGAAATGAAATCGGCTTTACAAGCATCCACGTCAATAAATGAAGTACATTAGAGCACAATGAAATAAATAGGGAAATAATCCGTACTGAAATAATAACTAAATTAATCAATTATTAGATTATTGCTTGGTCCAGCTTCAACAAGGTCCAGATTTTCTGTTTTCCTCAATTTATATCATTGTATTTTGTATTTCTTTTATTTATTCTATTTATTTATGCTTTATTTAACTATTTTTTTATTTTTCTTCTGTATGTTTGAATATTGATAGTCAAAAGCATCCACGTCAATAAATAAAGTACAGTAGAGCCCAATTAAATAAATAAGGTTCAGAATCGGAACTGAAATAATAACTCAATTAATTAATTATTAGATTAACTGAAGAATTCTCTGCAACTGTTTTCATAATTGTTTATCTTTTTTCATTGTGAAATCTTTCAAGCGAAATAATTTGCTTGGTCCAGCTTGTTTGGATTTTCTGCTTTTTCTCTATTTTATATAATTGTATATTGTTTTTATTTTGAATGCTTTACTCCATAATCTAATAAAAAACATACAGAAGACCTTTTCTACAAGTCTTGGTGGCACTTGGGGCTTTACAGCACCTGCCTGAATTCAGCAGATTAATGTCAGTGTAAACTGTGAAGGTGTAATGAATTTCTTCCCTAGTGTACTTATTTGCACAGCTTAAGTCCCCAGCTGAGGCCTCAGTGTAGGGAAAAGCAGGCCTACCTCAGAACAGAGAGCAGGATTTAGGGGGTCTGAAGGGATTATCACTGGAGGGGACCCCGACCAGGAGGGGGTCTCTGGAGGCATTCTGCAGACAGAAGTTCCTCAGCTCAGCAGCGGCCTGGGACACCTGCAGAGCCAGACATGAGGAAACATAAACATGTACAGTTGTAATACTCCAGCTGACCTGCTGTCAAACCTACACCACATAACTGCCACTGTTTTGCATATCATTTGCAAGCAATTTCACAATAAACGGATGGGTGTGTCTATTAAACGACACTTTAACAGAGTTATAACAGTGTTTCCTTCAGAGAGCACACATTAAGAGGTTTAACTTTGATAAACCAACGTGTCGACACTTTAAAGTGGTGACGCTTCCACAGACTGACAGCCTCTATAACGCGGAACAAACTGCTCGCTTAACTGTGGCTTCACTAACGTTTAGTTAACTACACAGGAGTTTATGAGTAACTTTAAAGAGCACTTTGTTGAAGACATGATGTAAGAGTCCACTTTGTGTCATTTCTGCAACAGTTTGTCTCCGCCATTCAGCAGTCTCTCGCCCAGTCTTCCGTGTTTGTGTGTCAGTGTTGAGGGGGTTCGTACCTTGATCCTCCGGATGCTGGCCTCTAACCGGAGCTGCTTCACGGTCCGCTGTGCGATGATTAAGTTGTTGCTGGCGTTGTTGTTGGACATGACGACGGTTGTTGGCGGAGAAAAGTTGAGGGCTACTTTATCTAGACGGCCACCACCGAACGGAAATTAGCCCCAACTGCTCTAAACCCGACTGGGAAACATCGCTCAGCCACTGCCCCGCCCCCTGTGGGCCAGCGAGACATTCTATTGGAGGTTTGGCCTGTCATTTATAAGTGATGTTACCGCCCCCTGTATACAGCATGAGTTTCCTAGAAAGCAGAGCTGTGTATACTGTGACCTTCAGCTGCAGGGTAAACAACCACAACACAGTGTTAAATCACCACCTCATGTACCTAGAAGTTTGATGCCATTTCTATCAAAACATTAAATGAGGAAACATTTTGTGGTGGGATTCATTTCACACGATTGCACTGTAGTGTTAAAGAACTCAAATAACCAGAGAAGCAAGCAAGTGAAGGCTAGTTCACTTGTTAGTCAATACCATACACTTTGGGCACTGGTGGAAGAAGTAATCAGAACCTTTTTAAAAGTAAAAGTATCAGTAACAGAATACAATTATCTTAATTGAATGGTTCTTCATTTTAAACATTAATAAAGCTTCAAAACATTCTTAAAGTGCCAAAATAAAAGTATACATTAAGCAGAAAAATAGATTCAATCACCACACTTTTTTAGTATTAATATGAATCTGTTAATTAACTGAATAACGCCTGTATCTATTTGATGTTACAACGTAAATGTCTGTAATGTAATTCTGATTCGGATCCTGACTTATTTGCTTTTTTCAGAGGTTTAAACCTCACCTTGCATTTATCATTCATGTTGTTACTGAGTTTGACTGAAACTGTAAATGGACCAAGTTTTTTTTGTCACATAAAAGTCAAAGGAATAAGTACCGTGTTTACCTGTCATTAGAAACTCCACAATTAATCTATAAGGGCTAACAACCCTTTTGAACAAGATAGTGTGCTATATAGGTTTGTGTGCATGTCAATGCACAATGCAAAGGCTAGAATCCCAACATTCCCTCCAGAGGGAGTTTCTCCCCCACACACTCCCCCCCTGCCTGAAACACCTCCATTGGACCCCTTTGTTAACTTATAAACACTGTAACATCACTATGTAACACTGGCGCTTCTATTGGCTAGCGCTCCAACACATTATATGTGATAGGCTAGGTGAGGACATCCGAGATTGACCAATCCCAACAGAGTCGGCCAGCTAACCAATCACAGCAGACTGGGCTCTGGTTTCAGACATAGGGTGAAAAGAGGTGCTAAAGCACAGGCAGTTTGAGAAAAATAAAGAGCTTTTTGAGCATTAAAGAATGTAAACATGTCACAGTAATACAAAAATACAAAATACAAAAATGAACCTGACATGTAGCATTATATGTCCTCTTTAAATGATATCAATCTGAGGTACATAATACGGAAAAACATATTTTATCTCTACCTTCCTTTACTAGTGTTGCTCTGTATTAATCACATGACATAAGTATGTAACTTCACTCACTGAAGATAATTACTCATATCTGTGTCCGACTTGGTCTCTGGTTGATGTGACTGTTACTATAATAAACATGAGTAGTGGATGAATTCTTATTTCAACCCAATAATGGTTTCAAAGGAAAGTCTGGGGATCATCAAAAATGATTACAGATGCTCCTGACCTGGCAAACTATAACAATTAGAGAAAACTGTTGCTGTTATGTTTAGTGAGTTCCATTCTCACATGGTAAAAAGGGTCAGGGCTTTATCCAGTCTTTACGGTCCTCAAAACTATTTAACATTTAAAAATCATCATTTATACAGAGCAATGTGTCACTTGGGCTGAAGTTAGAGCTGACACACATTCACACACAATGTAACATTAAGTTGTTATGTGGATCTTCAGTTCCTATTTATGAAAATACTTTGCATTTTTGAAATACTTATTTCACACAGGAATATTCATAGTTGTTTCATATTGACAATTAATTTTTTTAATAAGCAGAAACATGCCATATCATGTATATCATTATCCAGATATGAAATGACTCATAACATGATGAAAGATCACCCAGCCCTTTTAATCACCCCAATCAAAAACGGATGACAAAATCATTACAAAGGAAATATAATCAATGATCGATACAAAGTATGTTAACATTCATTATTAATGTAACACCAGTTCTACTAATCTTGTAAAAACATCTTGAAACAAAACAAGGTCACAGCACGTTATCAGCTCACTCGGTTGCCTTTTCCCCTGAAGATATATAAGAGAGAAAGAAAGAAAAAACATGGTTATTAATGCCATACATTTCTTTGTGTTTGAACACAAGCCACTAAGTTGTAAGTCATACTCACAAAGGATTGGTCCAACGGTGATGGTTTCCAGATGCTCAGAGTTGGAAACAGAGCGATAGTTCCTATGTGTGCAGGGCTATGGGTGGTGGGAGAAGTTGGAGAAAATACGATTCAAACCAGAACAAGGGGCATTTGTGATGAATTATTGATGAAGTGAAATGAGTGACTTACTGGAACACAGGAGCTGGTTCTCCGATCACACAGGCTGAGGCTGCAGTGAAGGTACAGGTCTCGGTACTCATGCTGCAGCAGGAAGAACAGGGAAGAGAAATGAGCCCGGAGAGAAGCGCCGCTCTCCACCACGGACACCTGTCTGCGGTCAGCAGGACACCTGGGAGACAGCGCCATCACACATCACTACATTCAACTGCCATTTATATTAGACCACATGGAACAGGACTAAGAGCATTAGTGAAAGAAGTACTCAGATCTTAACTAAGCAAAAGTACATTATACATACTCTGTTATAAGTCTAGCATTCAGAATCTTAATTTATTTAAGTACAAAAGCATTGGCCCCAAACGTACCAAAAGTAAAAGTGCTCAAAATGCAGAATATCCCTTACATTTTTTTATATATATTAAATTACTTGATTATAATTGATGCATTTATGTGTCTGTCACATCTGGTTAATATGGAGCTAGTTTTAATTAATTTGCATATGGCTGCTGGAACCCATAATTGTAAGTCAATGTTTATTTATTAGTTGTTTTATATTTTGTATTCTCTTATATCTGAATATGTTAGGCAACTAAAGCTGTAAAACGTAATGGCTTCCAAAGTGTAATGGAGTAGAAGTATAAAGTAGTACTCAGGTAAAGTCCAAGTACCTAAATTGTGTACTCAAGTAATTGAGTGAATGTACTTTAAATTGCAGCCCTGCTGTGAAGGAGTACTAACTTGCTGTGGATGAGAGGGTACTGCTCGGGGTTGTGAGGGTTTGATAAGTGTGTGGCGTAGCAGTCCTCCAGAACAACTGCAAAGCTTGGATCTGTCTCCTCCACCGAGACGCCCACGTACAGCGGGGAGCCGACCGGCAGGGTGACCAGGCCTGCAGGATACTTCTCTGAGAAGCTGGAGTCGTGGAACAGAGACATGGAGGCCTTTGCTCTGGAACCAGAGCCTGTAATAGCACCTTTCAGCCTGTGGAGAAAAACTTGTTTGTTTTTTTGTCATCTCAAACTAATATTTTCACCATTGTGTAAAGACTCTTCAGATCCATCCTTTTTACGTGTATCAAGAATGCTATAATACCATAATGGACAAAAGAGCTTCACTATTCTGGTCAAAGTCATTTAACCCTCCTGCATGTTCGTTTCTCACCCTTACTTAGGTTTTCCGAGTCAAAGAAAAACACTGAAAATGTATTCCAAAATGTACAATTTGTCTATTTTTGGGTGTGTTCTATCTGACAGAGGAACATAATCTAGGGTTACCCATTCATTTATTTTTGACAGGGAACATAGGTGTTAGAAAGTTGACTAAACCACTCAAAATTGGTGGTATACAGCCATTTTATTTGTTCAAATGGCAAGTGTGGAGGATATTATAAGGCCTTGAGGCAATCAAATGTAAAACACAATGTAAAGTAAATCAGTCAGATTTGACCCAAACATGACAGGAGGGTTAAAGGCTACTTACTCCAGGAATGGCCTGACAGCCACGTCCATGCTGCTGTGTGTGTCCAGGGGAAACACGCAGGTGAAGGGCACACTCAGAGGATGGACGAAGGAGGAGTTGCTCTTCGGGTAGATGAACAAACTATTGGAGTAGATGGCATGTGTGCTGTTGGTCTGAAAGACAAAGGATAATCACGTTTTTGCAGTCCTATGCTTCAGTTGGCTTGAGAGGATGTGCTATTAGCAGCATGACTGGATCAGGTTTACAGCAATTCTTTACCTTCAAAGTGTTTCCACAGACACCGGCTCTGGTCTCCACTTCGTACCACACTACATTATCACGCACTGTGAACCGGGAGCAGTTGAGCGTTGCCAGGTTTCCAGAAAGAGGGTTCAAACCAGAGGATGTAAGGCTGTCCACATCCAGCCCAACTTGAAGCGTCTCACGGCCACAAATCAGCTGAGAAGGCTGATTGGGTGCCTCAGTGGAGCTGAAGGTCTCAGGTGTTGTATCGGGTGCATGGGTGAGGGGCTCAGTTATGGGCTCAGGTGTGGTTGGTACAACTTCAGGGGCTGGCCCTTTCACCTCTGTTTCAAAAAAAGAATTTAAATGAATTGGTTTAGACATCATATTTAAAACCAATGGGATAATAATGTCTTCTTGATAAGTTTAAAACACTTAAAGGAGACAGGGTTTCTACTAAAACATGCTAACATGCTTCTATGTTTACATTTTCCATTATTTTTTCTCATACTGTCTATCTGAATATACTGTAGCTGTCTTCACCCTCTTTCTGAAATGCTCAGTTGTGGCCCCTGTCTCTTTAAACCCCCTTTGTGAAAAAGTCCAGTCTGCTCTGATTGGTTGGCAAGAAACATATGCAGCACCCTCACAAAGGTAGTTTTCAAGCCATAGGTGGACACACTCAGATGGGGGGGAAGTATACTCTAATTATCCTGCATGTAACATAGGGAGGGGTTCCAAATCTGGCATTATGAATCTCATGTTTTCTGACCAGCTCACAGAAAGAAATGGACTGGATTGTCCTATTTCCTGTGTGAACCCAAACACTGAAAGATGTTTGAAATGGACCACTACCTGCACAGTAAGCAAGGTAGCATGTGGATGGCCTCACGAGTTTGTAGACGTAGAAGTTTCCAGGGCAGAGCTTGACCTGGATGTCTGTGTCATAAGTGCAGCAGTCGTCTTCGAAGGCAGCACACACCTTGCGATTTACAATCTCATCTGACTCTGTGGGATGAGCTTTTGTCATCCACATGGGAGCATCAGTTCCACACCTGTGGCTACCTGAACATCTCTCTGGAAGCTGAGCACTTTCTCTGCCCAGATACATGCGATACCAGCCTTTCCATCTGATATCTCGGTCACAGCGTGGCCGGTTAATCACTGTGTTATTAGTTGAACGCCACTCATCATTCAGTTTGGTGTACTGATCACAGGGGTCAGCAAAGCGAGAGCCATGACCATCGATGCAGTCCATGCCCCTGGGACAATCAGAGCGTCCACAGTGGAACAGGACAGTTTGGGTGGAGGGCTCCAGGCATGCAAAGGACCCTGGGGTGTTTCGGCAGACCTGGCGTGGGGTGCAGGGTGACTCTGAGAGGGAGCACTCGTCAGTGTCCACACAGCCCATGTCTGGTGACCACTGATAACCTTGGCTACAGCAAGAGGAGTCGCTGCAGAGCTTTGCATCGTAGCAGGTGAGCCCATCGCCTACAAAGCCATCTTTACACACACAAGAGTACGCCTGGCTGGTGAAGGAGTCGCCTCTTTCCCGTGTCTTCAGGCAGTTGGCTTCATCATGACAAGAGTCACAGCCGGAGGCAATTGTCCCTATCAAAAGGATGGTTTGATGAATGCATGATGAAGCTATTACATGCAATTGCAATGCATTTCCTTACTTTAGCAGATTAAGAGTAATCGGTGTCAAGGTATTCTATGATAACACAAAAAGTCTAATCTTTTAGTGATACCTTTAGAATTACATCAGAAGTGTGTGATTGCCATTTTTTATATTTAATGTAGATATCTGTTGTTAACAATATAACCACAATTTGTTTTTATGTTTTACTTTTCTTCTTTTTTTCGGGAGTACAATCACACAGCAAACATGAGATTACAGAGATAAAAAGATATCAGATGGTTTACCTGAAGTGCTTCCTGAAAGAATCTGCAGAATTAGGGCCAAAATCAAACCCGCTGGCAACCCCATTATAGATCAAAACCACGACGCAAACCTGCTGAAAAAGACAAAAAAGAGAGACCTTAATTAATACATTACAACCACATTTTCAAAATGATGCTGATATGCAGTAAAAAGTACCAATCCGTCAGCGTTAATACTCACCTTAGAGAGACTGTGTGGGAATTCAGGAGTTGGTGAAGAAGTTGTAGGTGCATTCTCAAAGTGTGAGCCTTTATAGGGATCCTGGGGCATTCAAAGAACCAGATGAAGCAATCACTGTTGAATTACAGAAATGGGTCCTTTATTCGAGTGACAGCAAAAGAGTTACTCATTGCTCAAAAGAACACAAAATTAAGATACAATTCAAACAGAACTGACACACCAACAAAGTCCTCAGTCAATAGATTTTATGGAACCATAATCAATCTCAGGACGGTGTTCAAACATAAAGACAGGTCTTCATAAGTTTGTACATTACAGACCTGAGTGGCCAATCTATAACCACCTTTTGTCAACAGCAGGGACTACATAGGAAAAAGAACATCACGTTTTTTCCTGTGGAGCTTTTAACTCACATTTTTCATTAATGCTTTTACTCATTTTGATCAAAAAGATGACACTGGCCTCCATTTCTAGAAATGGTAAATGGACCATGAATAAGATTATTTTGTCCAAAGAAGAACTGAGACAGTTGTACATCTCATTTGAATCTCAGCACTTGTCATCAGGCATGAATGAAACTGGCTCTGCTCACATAGGCAGATTATGAGATGATGGGCCCCCGGGCACCGACGTGCAAAAGGCCCCACCAGCTCTACAACAAACTGTAGGAACAAGACACATACACTGAATCAGAATCAAGTTTATTGCCAGGTAACAAGGAATTTGCTTTGGTGTCTGGTGATGCAAACATAAACTATCTAAGAAAAAAGGTTGCAATAGTAGGTGAAAAATATAAAGATAATACAAAGAAGTATTTTTAGGAAACGATTTAGCATTAAAAAAAGAATAAAGATATGTATTTACACCAAATTTAAATTAAAATGTACTAAGAACCTTAAAAGCTAAAAAATACAAATACAAAAAAACTGTAGGACGATGAATAAACGACAAAATATGGCAACCTACAGTGAATTATATTTTAAAGTGGAGGGCTGTTAAGATAGTTGTTAAACGTTGTGGTTGTTTTGCTGCTTTTTGAAATCATTTAGAGTGTCTTTGTGTGTCTTTGCAGCTATTTTGAAATTCTTTGTAGTTGTTTTGGCCTTTTTTTTATCTTCTTGTCGGCCTCTTTCATCTCTTTGTGGTCATTTGAGTCTCTTCCTGGTTAGTAAAAGTCTCTTTGAGTGACATGTTGGTGAAGGACTTCACCAATCCATCCATGACAGATCGTCTAATAAGCAACCGTTAGTCCGATGTTGGACCCCATCTAATGTTTCTGCATTATGTATTATCTAGCTTTAGTTTTTTTTTTTATCAAGCAAGATTCTTTCAAATGAGAGATCTTGCACAGCAGGAACGAGCATGAAGGAAACAGCACAATAGGGATTTACTGTGTCTTTTGATCATATTCCTGTGTCACTTCCTATTAAATGAAATCAGTGTGGCTCGTCCTGTACATTTTGTTCATCATATTTCTAAACATACTTCCTTTTTAGATAAATAGCTGACCAAGAGCTTTGTAATAATATTGTACAACACACAAAGTACCATTTAGCTGCAGTGTGCTGAACACCTTACTGAACTGAACTTGTATGCTACAATCTAAACACTTCTTTGACGAGTCAGGCACCATGCTAAAAACTAAGCCTTACTCTTACAGCTGCTTACCCAGAAGCCTTTTAACTTGTTTTAGCACTTACCGTATTTACAATGTCATTTTTAAACAATTTTGTATCTCATTAATGCATTGTTTTTATGAAACTGTTATTCCATTATGTTTATTTATTGTGTTCCTCTCTGTTCTACTATCATGTGTTAATGATCATGTAAAGCACTTTGAATTGCCTCTGCGTCTGAAATGTGCTAAATAAACGTACCTTACCTTACCTTACTCAAATATAACTTTCAATAACGCAGTCATAAAACTGCTATAAAAAGCTCATACGGTTTGTGTACTTCTCAGGATGGATTGAGTACATTAGCTCAAACACCTTCACTGATAAGAAGTCAAACACTTCAAAGCAACAGCGAAGAACAGAACATGTGACTGCATTTTCTTTTTTCATAAAAAGTTATGTTTTACTTTTTAATTAAAAAACCTTCTGGGCTCCATGAATGACAAAGGAAAATTGTATTATAACATTCCTTTACTAGCTTAGCTCCGACGTCATTTGATATAAGTATGTAACTTATGACTAAAAATCTCAGCACATTTTTTTGATGAGGATTTTGTGGATTTGATTTTGTGATTCAGACTTGATTTATCATGTGAACACATAACAGTTTTACACCATTTTGGTGAGGAATGCAAAGAAATGGACTTAATTGGCATTTTGATCAGTGATGGTTCCAGAGAACAAGTCATGGGATCATCTAAGTGTTAACAGATCTTCCTGACATTGCATAACAAACAACAATATAATAAAAAATATCCACCTCATGACACAATAGATTCAAATAGTATACATATCACATGAGATAAATCAAAGAAAGAAGTCATTATTGGTTGCCCAACACTCATGATTTGTCGATAAATCGACTTATTTAATTTGAGAAACTCCAAAAGAGTCATGCAAAATCCACACTTTAAAGTATACATTATTATTTACATATTATGCTGTTTGGGGTTTCGCTTTCCTGTAGTCCATCCATCCATCCATCCATCTTCTCCCGCTTATCCGTGGTCGGGTCGCGGAGGTAGCAGTTCCAGCAGTTCCAGCAGAGAGCCCCAAACTTTCTTTTCCCTGGCCACATCAACCAGCTCTGACTGGGGGATCCCAAGGCGCCCCCAGGCCAGAGAAGAGATATAATCCCTCCACCTGGTCCTAGGTCTACCCCTTGGTCTCTTCCCAGCTGGACGTGGAACACCTCCCTAGGGAGGCGCCCAGGTGGCATCCTAACTAGGTGCCCGAACCACCTCAACTGGTTCCTTTCGACGCGAAGGAGGAGCGGTTCAACTCCGAGTTCATCCCGGATGACCAAACTTCTCACCTTATCCCTAAGGGAGACACCAGCCACCCTGCGGAGAAAAACCATCTCGGCCGATTGTACCCGCGATCTCGTTCTTTCGGTCATGACCCATCCTTCATGACCATAGGTGAGGGTAGGAACGAAAATGGTGCGGTAGACAGAGAGCTTTGCCTTCTGGCTCAGCTCCCTTTTCGTCACAACGGTGGGGTAAGGCGACTGCAGTACCGCTCCCGCTGCTCCGATTCTCCGACCCATCTCACGCTCCATTGTTCCCTCACTCGAGAACAAGACCCCGAGATACTTGAACTCCTTCACTTGGGGTAAGGACTCATTCCCTACTTGGAGTGGACAGTCCATCGGTTTCCTGCTGAGAACCATGGCCTCAGATTTGGAGGTGCTGATCCTCATCCCAGCCGCTTCACACTCGGTTGCGAACCGATCCAGTGAGTGCTGAAGGTCGCAGACCGATGAAGCCATCAGAACCACATCATCTGCAAAAAGCAGTGGTGCAATCCTTAGTCCACCGAACTGCAGACCCCCTCCCCCACGACTACGCNGCCCGGGTGGTGTGTTTGGGATCATTGTCATGCTGAAAGACCCAGCCACGTTTCATCTTCAATGCCCTTGCTGATGGAAGGAGGTTGTCACTCAAAATCTCACGAGATTTTGAGTGACAACCTCCTTCCATCAGCAAGGGCATTGAAGATGAAACGTGGCTGGGTCTTTCAGCATGACAATGATCCCAAACACACCACCCGGGCAACGAAGGAGTGGCTTTGTAAGAAGCATTTCAAGGTCCTGGAGTGGCCTAGCCAGTCTCCAGATCTCAACCCCATAGAAAATCTTTGGAGGGAGTTGAAAGTCTGTGTTGCCCAGCGACAGCCCCAAAACATCACTGCTCTAGAGGAGATCTGCATGGAGGAATGGGCCAAAATACCAGCAACAGTGTGTGAAAACCTTGTGAAGACTTAGAGAAAACATTTGACCTCTGTCATTGCCAACAAAGGGTATATAACAAAGTATTGAGATTAACTTTTGTTATTGACCAAATACTTATTTTCCACCATAATTTGCAAATAAATTCTTTAAAAATCAGACAGTGATTTTCTGGATTTTTTTTTCTCTTTTGTCTCTCATAGTTGAGGTATACCTAGGATGAAAATTACAGGCCTCTCATCTTTTTAAGTGGGAGAACTTGCACAATTGGTGGCTGACTAAATACTTTTTTGCCCCACTGTATAATGCTAATACTGCTAACATGCACAGGAAGCAAGGAATTATTCAAGCAAATAGCGAAAATGAGCCAACAGTGTTATTAAAATACTTCCTGTATACACCAGCATGCGCATGTCTAGTGATTATCAATGGTCATGCAAAAGGAAAAATGTAAAGCATTAAAAGAAAGAAAGAAAGAAAGAAAGATGCCTACACCAGCCTCCCTAATTGAAAAAACACAGCTGGCTCCAACCCTAACCCTAACCATTGAGAAAAAACGATCCTACTAGAGGCTGACCTGACACACGAGGAACTAATTGTGCCCTTAATGAGAATGTGTGTCATCTTAATACAATTTGACATCAAAAGCATCCCATTATGAGCGTTAAAGAGCTAGTGATTCGCTGCAACACGGTTCCTGGTGTTTTTCATGCATCTGCAACCCAAATGATTTTAATTAGGTTGTATTATCTTTTCATTAAGGAAAGCACACAGCGCCGTCTTGTTTGGGAGTCAGCAGGTGGTCCCTTTGCACAGCCATGAAGAGCGATGAGAGGGAAGGGGGAGGGGGGGCAACCTATTTCTGTACTTTACTGTATTTGGGTTTACAACACACTGCTCAGATCTGATACCTCTATAGTGAGTCCAGTTAGAGTCTAAATCCAGATGAGACAGATTGCAGTTCACACCTGGCTTCGGGATCTGCTGAATGATGTGTAATGAATGACCATCTGTTTGAGTTTTCATTTATTTCATGAGGTGAAAAACCCAGCTCGAATATAAAAAAAAACGTCACCTCATTTCAGATAGAGTGCAAAATCTCAATGTTTTTTAGATGTATTGACTGTTGTATAAAGCTTATTAATTTCTGACAACATCTTTCTAGGCGTTTCAAGTGCTTACACTCTTAAGTTATATCTGCA